AGTGTGGAAACAAAAGCAGTGTGTGTACAAACATTTCTGATAAGAACTAGCAGATATACTCACTGAATATCTGCTCTATCATCTACAACAGTTACAAGCAAATATTGTATGTAAGTATGTTGGCAGTGTGATGCTTTGCAGTCTCTGAAGTGCTTCACGGGTTGTTTTTTTGTCGCTATTGAAGTGCTGCAACATGAGACATTACATACATCAATGCAGCTGCCTTCTCTTTTAGACCAAACTACAGTGTCATAAATGCTAATGCCAGTCTACCACAGCTGGAGATTTGGGGTGAATGTAGAGAGAGGGAGTGACTTCAAGCTTGCCCTCTCTTCTGAACATGAGGAAGCGGTGTCTGGTTTCAACAGCATTTGCATTAGAAGGGAATGTTGCTATTTATTGAATATTGCTACTTGTATCCTCATCCATCTAAAGAAGATTTTGGTGGGGCAAGATGACTCGAAAAAAAAAAAAACCTGATGCATTTTTCCCTTTTTGTCAGCATTTATACGGAGAAAAGCTCACCATGATGCACATGCATTTCTGAGGTGCAGACGTTATACATCCCATAATCCCCCTCCCAATGTTTTCAACATGCTGTATCTTACAGCAGAAATGGTTAACTAACAGACACACTGTCCGCACTTACACTTTGCCTTCGATTGCCTTTGATCCATGCATTTTCTGTACTGCTTATCCTATACAGGGTCACGGGGAGCCTGGAGGCTATCCCAGAGGACTCGGGGGACACAAGGCGGGGGGACACTGGACAGGGTCCCAACCCATTACAGGGCACAATCACGCACGCACACTACGGACAATTTAGAAATGCCGATCAGCCTGCAACGAGTGTCCTTAGACTGGCTAATTGGCCAAGATTAAATTTCGCTCTGACTTAGCAAACGCATTAATAGGTGTGAAACGCGTTTTACTTCATAAGGTGTCTCATAACTAACTTTGTCAAACAGGACATAAGGTGCTTCATTATCACATTCTACCGGCAGGCACGGTTCATATCCTAACCTGGTAATGGAATATCCCCCCCACCACCCACACACAAGACACACAAGACAAGCGTGCCAATGCTAATCTGTGCATAAATGTAGGCCGGGTCAGTGCATTAACGCAGGAACTCTTTCTTACTCCACACTGAGGAGCGGACGTAAAGCGGGAGTTATTTCAACAATCGGCCCATCCCTCCCCCTATAAGGAGAGCTAAAGAGCCATATGGTGACAGATAATCCGGTGGTCTGCTTGGTCTGAGCTCATCTCTGACCTCCAGCTGGTGATTCCTCCTTTACACACCCACACACGCCCACACATGCTAACCTAACACATGACCAGGTGCACAGGCGTACTGACCCCAGTGGACAAAAAAAAAAGCAGTTGAGTAATCGAGAGAGATAGAGAAGGGGGGTGGGGGTAGAGGATGGGGGTGTGAGAGAGAGGATGGGGGTGAGAGAAAGATAGGGAAGTAAACCGTAGTGGAGGAACTATTTTATTTTTGTCCCATTAAAACAAATTCTTTCGCTTCATATTTGCCTCTATTTCTCTCCTCTTAAATAGGTTCCACTCTGCTGAATAAATTCTATTTTTATATTCTATGTCCTAGCTACAGTGGTGTGTAAAAAGTGTTTGCCCCTTCCTCATTTCCTGTTCCTTTGCATGTTTGTCACACTTAAGTGTTTCGGAACATCAAACCAATTTAAACAATAGTCAAGACAACACAAGTAAACACAAAATGCAATTTGTAAATGAAGGTGTTTATTATTAAAGGTGAAAAAAATCCAAACCGTCATGGCCCTGTGTGAAAAAAGTGATTGCCCCTTAAACCTAATAACTGGTTGGGCCACCCTTAGCAGCAACAACTGCAACCAAGCGTATCGATAACGTGCAATGAGGCTTTACAGTGTCCTGGGAATTTTGGCCCACCATCTTTCCAGATTGTCCTAATTCAGTTACATTAGAGGGTTTTCGAAGCGGCGCCTTTTAGGTTATACGTCACAACATCTCAATAGGATTCGTCAGGACTTTTGCTAGGCCACCAAAGTTTCTTTTGTGTTTTTCTTCAGCCATTCGGTGGTGGCTTGCTGGTGTTTTAGGATCATTGTCCTGCTGCAGAACCAAGTTCGTTTCAGCTTGAGTACACGAACAGATGGTCGGACATTCTCCTTCAGGATCTCTTGGTAGACAGTAGAATTTATAGTTCTTTTATCACGGCAAGTCTTCCAGGTCCTGAGCAGCAAAACAGCCCCAGACCATCACACTACCACCACCATATTTTACTGTTGGTATAATGTTCTTTTTATGAAATGCAGTGTTCCTTCTACGCCAGATATACTTGGACACACACCTTCCAAAGAGTTCCACTTTTGTCTCATCGGTCCACAGAATGTTGTCCCAAAAGTCTTGGGGATCATCAAGATGTGTTGTGGAAAATTGGGACGAGCTTTGATGTTCTTTTGCTCAGCAGTGGTTTTCTCCTTGAACTCTGCCATGCAGGCCATTTTTGCCCAGTCTTTCCTGATGGTGGAGGCATGAACGCTGACCTAACTGAGGCAAGTGAGGCCTGCAGTTCTTGGACGTTGTTGTGGGGTCTTTTGTGACCTCTTGATGAGTCGCTGCGCTCTTGGGGTAATTTTGGCGGTCGGTCACTCCTGGGAAGGTTCACCACTGTTCTCATGCTTCGCCATTTGTGGATAATGGCTCTCACTGTGGTTCCTGGATTCCCAAAGCTTTGGAAATGCTTTATAACCCTTTCCAGACTGATAGATCTCAATTACTTTCTTTTCAATTGTTCCTGATTTTTTGGGTCTCGGCATGATGTGTAGCTTTTAAGGATTTCTGGTGGACCTTACTGTGTCAGCAACTCCTATTTAAGTGATGCCTTGATTGTGAACAGGTGTGGCAATAATCAGGCCTCGGTGTGGCTAGAGAAATTGAACTCAGGTGTTGACAACCACAGTTATAGTAAGGGGCAATCACTTTTTCACACAGGGCCATGATGGTTTGGATTTTTTCACCTTTAATAATAAACACCTTCATTTACAAATTGCATATTTGTGTTTACTTGTGTTGTCCTTGACTATTATTTAAATTGGTTTGATGTTCGAAACACTTAAGTGTGACAAACATGCAAAGGAACAGGAAATGAGGAAGGGGGCAAACACTTTTTCACACCACTGTATTATTAAAATTTATTATTAGTCTGTTCACATTTTGCATACATGGTAGCCAATTTCTTTGCCTCCCATTTGAAACAGAAGTCAGAACGTGGCAATAACGCAATTACAAATAAATCACAACATACTGATTGATAGTTAAAGAATTATAACTGAATTATGAGTCCTTATACAACTCAAGGCTAATCTGATACATGGACAGAGCTGTCTGCCTTCCCCTACACACACACACACACACACACACACACACACACACACACTCTCTCTCTCTCTCTCCCTGTGCGCGTATGCTGAATGAGTGGGCGGAGCTCTGCGTGTGAGTGTTTGTGTGTCAGATCGAGTGTTCGTCATTTTCTATAACTTTTTTGTATTCGTTTCTCGGTGGTTTTAATTAATTTGTTTTGTGAAATTAGTTAAGAGTGCAAGGAGGTGTATAATATACCAGGGCGTCCCGGTTTTGTCCTGGGAGCATAGCTGCCGCGGGAAGTGGGTTTTTTTTTTGATGCAGTGTCATGGTGTGAAAATAGTGGAGGAGAATGTGGCCTGGCTGTAGAAGTGAATGGGCCTGAGAACGTTCTGTCCAAGTCTCGTCTGAACAGCGTCATTGTCGAGTTGGTGAAGACAACTGATTTGGCGAACCCGCTGCTAGAACGTGGGATAGTGGTTAATGGCCCCCCCCCCACACACACACTTTTTGCTCCTTCGAAAAAAAATGACGCTATCTAACATGTCACCTTTCATTTCAAATGAACTTCTGAGCAGAATGCTCTACATGGCAAATTCGTTTCTCTGATTAAGATGATTTCAACTGGGTGCAAGTCCCCGCTTTTGAAGCATGTTATGTCACTTAGGCGTTATGACTATACGATTCTACAAGAGAACCTGGATAACTTGGATCGGTCTTTAAAATTTCATCATGAAAAGTTTGTCATTTTTGCCACAACAAAGGGTAGGAGATGTTTCGTTTGTAGTGAAACAGGGCATCATATCCGCGCTTGTCCAGCCCTACTGAATAAGCCTGAGAAAAGTCATCTGCCGGCTGACGGTGAGAAAAATGATGCACGTGATTGAGATGCAGAATGCTATCGCTGCTTTGCCTACTGTCATGGAGGTGCCTGGAACAAGTCCAGCTCAAAAACCTGCACCGATAACAGATGCTGAAAGAATAACAGGCGTAATGCCGACAGATAAGTCAACTGAAGGGGAGAGTGTTCCTGCTGCTTTGGCAGAGAAAGATAAAGCGTCTGTAGTGAATGTTCAGTCAGCCGGTCAGGTGAATAAGCTGCGAAACAGTGATGGCCTTGCTGCAGCTGTTGAGCAACTTCATTCATGCCAATACAGAGCAGAATATATGGTTAACGGTCTGCACTTACATAGCCCTTTTTTAATCACAATGGTTTACACTGGTTCTCATTCACCCATTCACACACAATAATGGTAGCAGAGCTGTCATGTACAGTAAGGCACTAACTTGCAATCAGGAGCAACTTGGGGTTCAGGGTCTTGCCCAAGGACACTTCGGTATGTGGAGTCATGTGGACCAGGTATTGAACCACCCTCACTTTTCTTTGCTTGTATTTTCTCATTTGTAAATCGCCTTGGATAAAAGCGACTGCTAAATGAATAAATGTAAATGTACACTACGATTAGTGGACCATCGTGCGACCACTCTATATACCTGAGCCACAGCCGCCCACAATCAGTGTTCTTTGATGGATTCGGATGAGTGTGCTTTTAAAACGCCTTGAAAGAGTAGACTAAAGCAACAACATATTGGCAAACGGGCAAAACAGTAGAGACTGATACAGAGAGTGAGGTGGTAGTGTTGGCTTGGCGGTTAAGGCTCTGGGTTACTGACTGGAAGGTTGGGGGTTCAAGCCCCAGCACTACCATGCTGCCACTGTTGGGCCCCTAAGCAAGGCGCTTAACACTCAGCTCCAGGGGTGCTGTGTGGCTGACCCTGTGCACTGACCCCAGCTTCCGGACATGCTGGGGTATGCAAAGAAAAGAATTTCAGTGTACTGTATGTGATCAGTAAAGACTCATTATCTTTATCATTATGTAGTTTATCTCAGAACGGATTTCCTTAGCTGGGTTTACCCCGGGAGGATATAAACGTTTCTTGCACTTATTGTTACTTTGAGAAAGGACTTTGAGTTGAAGAATAAGAATATTTCCCAGATGTGGTACAATTTATTGAAAAAGCAAAGTCTTTTAGGAGTGATGGAGGTTTTATTAACTCGTTCTAAACTCTTCCTTTCAGAGAAAATAACTCTTCCTTTTCATACTCTGCTCTGATTGGTCAAATTTGCCAGTCTGTTGTGATTGGTCTAGCGCTGTCTACCGTGTTTCAAAAAGGAAAGGCCCACTAGCATAACGAGTTTCAGCCCGGTCTGTTCGCGAGCAGCTAATGAAGACCACAGCCTGGGCTTTTTGTTACAAACCTGCGTAGGTTAGTACAAGTAGTAAGTCTAGAATTACTAACGACTCATTTCAGAATCGGTTCCTGCTTTTGGGAGTCAATAACTTTGACTTTGAACGTTGCAGACGTTTTTACATTCACAAACAGCTCTATAACACACTACATGAAAGGTAATATTCGAAAAACCATACTAGCTGCACTTTAATGCCCAATCAAGGATCAGTGTTAGTAATGATAATGCCTAAATATCACTTCTCTTTTGAGTGTGTTTTTACCTTTGGCGGTGCCTGTTATGGTATTTTCTTTTCTCATTCATGGGAAAAAATTTTGCCACTTCTCTAAACATGAATGGGGCTAGAGAGATTAGGAAAAAATTTAAATTACTTGAGATGATTAAACAGAAGGAACTGATGTGTTTGCTCAAGAAACACACAGTGATATATTAACTACATCTGATTGGTCAAGAGACTTTAATGGTGTCTCTGTCACTTGACCTCAACCAGTGGTGGAGTTGCTAGCTTATTTTCTAAAAATTTTATTCCCTGTTCTTATCAGGTAGAGGAGATTATAAAAGGGAGACTTTTAAAGTTATAGCTCAGTCTGAAAATTGCTGTTTTGTTTTTATCTGTCCCAACCAATGCACTGGAAAGAATGATTTTTCTAGATACTCTGAGTAATATTTTATGTAATTGTAATCCGAGGATTGACTACTTTCAGGTGAGAATTTCAATTGCATGGAGCACATCCTCGATAGAAACCTGATTGAACCGCACATGCCTTCAGGAAAATGACTCATTCAATTATTGAAATCACATGAGATTGTTGATGTTTGGAGAAATTTTCATGGCAGCCAAAGGCAACATACATGGGCAAAAACTTAATTTCGTTAGCGAGGTTGGATAGATTTTATTGCTTCAAACACCAGCTTAGTTTCTATTTTATTTTATTAAAAGCTGTTCAGTTGTTCTAGTGAGCTTTTCTGATCGTAGTTTGATTCAGTGCGTTGTGTGAGCTCCACAAAGCCAAAAGTGCCTACTTTCATTTTACTAACAATCTATTATGTAAAAAGCATTTTAAAGATTTTTTTTTAACAACTTTGAATAATTTTAGAACTACAAAATCATCTTTCCAGACTTTACAGCAGTGGTGGGACGTTGCAAAAGCACAGATTAAACAGTTGTGCCAACAATATACTCGCAACGTCACAAGAGACATAACCTGTTCAATGAAAACAATACAGAATGAATTAGTAGAACTTTAGGGGCTTGCTGATAGTTCAGGAAAGCTGACCCATTTTGAAACGTTCAATAAAAAGAAAAACTCAGCTGAACTGCTAGACACAGTCACACAAAAAGCTCTGGTCAGGTCTCACTTTCAGAGGGTAGAATTGATGTATGCGCCCTCAAAGTTTTTTTATTTGATTTAGAGAAGAAAAATGGGCAAAAGTTTATTCATGCACACTCAGCAACTGAGCAACACTCAGATGCTGGAGTCTTGTTGTCAGATCCCTAAGTTTTTATGAAGAACTGTACAAAAGTGAACTCATGCATAAACAAACTGCTGGCAATGTCTTCCTTGGGAATTTACCTCCGCAATCCAGAGAAGCTAATGCTGAACTCAGTAAAGCTTTAACTCTGGAGGAGTTGGAAAGAGCTCTCCAAAGTATGGAGTGTGGCAAAAGCACCTGGAGTAGATTGGCTACCAGTAAACATCCACAAATCTTTGTGGTCAGAGCTGGGTCCAGATCTACTGGAGGTACTTAGGGCCTAGCTAGTGGGCAGCTACCCACAATAACAGTTCTTGCGTTGTTCCCAAAAAAAAGTCTTAAATTTATTTATTTATTTTATTTACATATATATATATATATATATATATATATATATATATATATATTTACATATACACATATATATATATATATATACACACACACACACACACACACATACACACACATTGCGTAATAGGATTGGGAGAAGTATTGGAGCAAGTAAGCCATCCTGAACAGACTTCTTGTGTACTGGGTAGAAGAATTTTTGATAACATGTCCTTATTAGGGTTGTATTGGATTTTGGCGAGAGTCTCAACCTAGATTTTGGTCTGCTGTCACTATATATTTATATAGAAATATGAAAACGGTTTTGTACAGTGATTATATTGAAAGTTGATGGTGACTTATGTGCTCCTTTTAAGGTTTTCGGATGTGTTAGACAAAGGTGTGCCTTGTCTGGTATGCTCTATGTTTTAGCAACGGAGCCTCTTTGAAATAAATTAGGAACAGATTTGGATGGATTGTATATTTCGAATTGTTCAAAAGTTTTTAAAAATTATCAGCAAATACAGATAACGTTGATATTTTAATTAGATGTCAGAGAGGTGTGAAATTGTTGCTCAAATTATTGAAAGCTGCATTGGGTTCCAAAAGCTGTTTTGTATCTGCCCAAGGAAGAGGAACATGACCTCATACATTTACAGAGTAGAACAGCAGCTTTTTGGAGACTTCTGACTGGACCAGTGGACTCAAACTGGAAAGCCATAGCCTTTGCTATTCTGCAGAATTTTGAAGGCATGGGCCTGGGACAAACCTTTGTACTGGTTGAATCCTAAAAAGATGAAATTTTCCAAATTACCAATTTTTTTTTTTTTTTTAACACAATCTTTTCTAAGTTTGGACTTTATTTATAGTGCAAAGACTCGGCTGTAAAAGTTCCTTAGACTTGTTGTGCAAGAACCTTTAATTCATGGCTCATGCTTGGATACATCTTGTGAAGGCCCCTTCCCTGCACTTGAAGGATTTCTTCTCACTCCTGGAGTAACAACCCTTGGACATCGATCACAGCTGGCAGGAACACGCTTTAAGAATGTTGATTTATTTGCTGGACATTTGGGCCTTCACTCAACACGTATAGTGGCTAAACTTCTGGGAAAGTGGAGGTCTGCTCTCACAGCAGAAGAATTCAAACTGCTGGAGGACTATTCAGAGGGATTAATTATTATTATAAATTCAGAGGGATTATTTATTCCAAACTGGAGAGATCCTTTTTCTAATCTGCTGTTATTGAATAATTCAGAAGAGTGTAAAGGTGTGGGTGTTTTTTTTGTATTCTGAAAATTTGACATTACTTGATTCTGAGACGGCTTCTGGAAAAGCCTTGTATAAAAGCGGTGTCAAATCCTTGAATAGAATGTTTTTAGATAATAGGGTGGATAACACCCGGGCGCACCATCCTCCAGATGGAGGAGGGTATAAAACCAGAATGGAGAGCTCTATATAACTCACTATTAGCTAAGAAAGTAGGGGACTTCCCGTGGAGAATTTTACATGGCGCAATTCCAGTTAATGTTTTTATTAGCACTTTTAAATCCTGGTGTTGGTCATCATTGCCCATTTAGTTTGCAGAGAGAAACTGTGTTATGTGTTAGACTAAAGCCTTTGTTTACTGTGCTACAGAATGTATTTGGTTGTATTGGTGAAACTTTTTCTGTTGGAATTTCTGCTTGTGGTTTTAAATGTGTTCAAAGACACCAGTTTAAGTGTCAACTTTCAAACTTTGTTAGTCCAAGCTAAAACAGCAATTTATAATACTAGAAAACACAAAATTGAAAAAAACATGAGTTTTGAGTAATTTAGAGGCAGTGTTTTTCAATTCAGTGAAATCTAGAACTTTCTATTGATGTTTTCTATTTTAAAGCCATGAATGATCTGGTTTCTTTTGAGTTGATTTGGTGCTATAAGGAGGCCTTGTGCAAGGTTATTAAAGACAACCTGTATTTTGCATCCCTCCTACGATCATTTTGTCTTTTCTATTCATTTTGTTTAATTATGTGTTAATTCACCAGTAATGTTTTAAAATTTGTAATAGTCTTTGAAATACAAATTCTCTCTCTCTCTCTCCTGAAAATGGCACCCCTTGAGGCTCACCACTGAAAGATCAGTCTGTGCAAGAGAAAATAAGAATTTTTTAAAAATCATATTAAAATCGTATAGAGGGGGGCATGGTGACGAGGTGGTTAGCACATCCTGGACTGGGGGTTTTATTCCCGCCTCTGCCCTGTGTGTAGAGTTTGCATGTTCTCCCTGTGCTTCGGGGGTTTCCTCCGAATACTCCAGTTTCCTCCCCCAGTCCAAAGACACATGGTGTAGGCTGATTGGCATCTCTAAACTGTCCTTAGTATGTGAATGTGTGTGATTGTGCCTTGCAATGGGTTAGTGTACCCAGCCTTGTGCCCCGAGCTCCCTGGGGCTGGCTCCAGGCTCCCTGTGACCCAGTGTAGGATAAGCAGTAAATAAAATGGATGGGATGGATATTGCATAGAAGTTGGAACATCAAAAAAAAAGTAAATGTTGTGTCTTCTTGACATTTAGCACTGTGTGTGTCTGCCCATTGTCTTCTCCCCAGCAAGCTGTTAGCGGCAACACAAAACTTCCCACGCTCTCTCTCTCTCTCACACACACACACATTATTTTAT